TCAGATATCCACACATGAACCCCCCTCAGCAGCCCCCTCTCCCACCCCCACCGTCTTCAAAGCCAGGGACCTGGCAGTGGTTCTGAAAGCCGGGCAGAGCCTCCATGCCATGGCTTGGCATTGAACTCAAAGGCTCAATTAGCAACATCTGCTCTTGTGGGCTGTAAAACCCTCTCGCTGCTCCCCTCCCTTGCTCCGAGCGCTCACAGCTGGGAGCAGCATGGGGCTGCAGCCAGCCCGGCCAGGGGAGCTGTGCCCCTGGCTCACAGCTGTCATAGCTTGCTGTGCCACCTCTGCCACCGTGCCACCTCTGCCACCACTCTCCAGACCGCTTAGATCCACGGCCTGATGGCAGTTGAGGGTGAGGGACAAGGAGTGAGCTCTTCTCTCCGGTGACCAGGGAATGGCAGGAGCTGTGTCAGGGAGGGTTAGGCTGGATATTAGGAAAAGGTTCTTCACCTAGAGGGTAGTCAGGCACCGAACAGAGGGAAGGGTCTGGAGAAGCAGGAGTGGCTGGGAGTGCTCAAACCGGAGAAAAGGAGGCTCAGGGGGGACCTTCTCCACAACTCCCTGACAGAAGGGGGCAGCTGGAGGAGCTGGACTCTGCTCCCAGGGAACAGGCACCCTGTTCCCTGTTTCCCAGGGGAAACAGCCTCAAGTTGTGCCAGGGGAGATTCAGGCTGGACTTCAGGAGGAATTTCTTCATGGAAAGGGTGGTCAGGCATTGGAAGGGGCTGCCCAGGGAGGGGGTGGATTCCTCATCCCTGAAAGTGTCCAAGGAAGGACTGGATGTGGCACTCAGTGCTCTGGGCTTGTTGGCCAGATGGAGATCGGTCAAAGGTTGGACTTGATGACCTTGGAAGTCCTTTCCAACCTCCAAGATCCCATGATTCTATGAAAGCCAGCCCCTACCCTGGAGGCTGGCTGAGAGCCCCCGCCAGCACCCATTGTTTGGGAGCTGAAGCAATCGGAGCCCTTTCCCGAGGAGCCTGGCGGGCCGGGCCGGGCTGTCCCAGGAGGGCCATATAGCAGCAGGGCTGGACACTGCTGTCATCATTCCTCAGATGCCTCCAAACACGGCCAAGCGGCGCCACACGAGGCCACCAAGGTCAGGAGGGCACTGAGCCAGCCGGGAATGGGATTTGTGAATGGGAGCAGGACGGGCAGTGCTGATGGGATGAGACTATGTGGTACCCCCTGTAAAGGAGCCCCCACCTGGAGGCAGCTGTCCCCTCACAGCCTGGTGCCACGAGGGGACAAGGGACAGGGCATTATTGATGTCTGACACTGGGCGCCAAGCACTTCGCCACCTTTCCCAGCTTCATTCCAAGAATGTCCAGTATGTCCACTCCTTCCCCACATTTTGGCCATTAAATCTGATTATCTTTGATTTACTCACTGTCTAGGGAGCTCTCAGGGCCTCTCCCTCTGAAGCAACCTCAGCTGCATTCTGGCTGCAGCAAAACATCCCACCCTGGGGAAAACCCGTGGGAGATTCCCCAAAACCTCAGTGCCCTCCTCAACTGTGGGTGTCCCTTAACTCCTTCCTGGGAGCTGGGGGGACAGCAGGGCTTGCCAGGACTGTCACCCCATGACAAACAAGGGGTGTGATCACAATCCCATAAAAATCCATCATTGAAGCCCTTTGCCAGGGCCAGGCCAAGCCTTGGCTGGAGCAGTGATAAAACTCCTTGTGCTGATGGTGACTTCCTCCCTAGTTATCCCCACCAAGGATCTGTCTCACAGGTAATCATGGAAACTCCAAATTCCCCAGGGAATCCTCCTGGAGACAGGGGTTGTCAGAACTGCCTCTCCCACCTGAGAATCAGCCTGTCCATATCCACTTGGAGAAGAAAAGCATCCATGAACCACATTTCCCTTGGAATACTGGCAGTAAAACATTCACACAACGCTGCCCTTAGCACGCCAGCAGCAGCAGTAGAGGGAGAGAAGCCAGAGGAGGGCTGAGCAAAGCTGTTCTCTCCTGAAGGGTCATGTGTGAGCCTCTGGTTTTGCAGGGAGTGGGAGGAGCAGATAATGTTTTCCCAGGCAGAGGAAACTCCTGGGTGGAAATAGCACTGTGCCCTGGAAACGGAGCCATCAGCAAACAGGGCTGGTGCAGCCTCATCTCAGCAGGTGATGCTGAGCTGGGCACAGGCTCTGTGGTGGAAGAACCACTCCCAAAGGGAAGGGGAGGGATGAGCTCCTGTCACAGCCCTGTGGGAGCACAGGGGAGGGGAGCAGAGGTCAGGGATGCCCTCTTCCTGCCCGGTGGCTCTCTGGGATACCCTCTCAATGCCCTCCCTCCCAGGTTTCATTCAGCCTCAGGGACACAAAAGGACGGGGAGTTGTGGGGCAGGAAGAAAGCTGAGTCCTCAGGCTGGGTAAAAAGCTGAAAAAGGATGGGAATGAGTGGGGCTTTGTGGGCAATAAGGAAATTAGAGAGAAAGGACAGCAGGGCTCAGTGTCCCATAACTAACAAGATGCACAAGGCTTGGAGTGTCTCTGTTACTGTCTCAGCTCTTCCTAGACCTGGACAGGACAGGATAGTGCTGATCTCCTGCCTGCAGCACTTCCCCTGAGACATGGAGTGATGGGACACGGGGGAATGGCTTTAAACTCAAGAGAAGGGAAATTTAGATGAGATATTGGTAAGAAATTCTTCCCTGTGAGGGTGGTGAGGTGGGGAGGCCCTGGCACAGGTTGCCCAGAGAAGCCGAGGCTGCTCCTGGATTCCCTGAAAGTGTCCAAGCCTAGGTTGGACAGGGCTTGGAGCAATCTGGGTGAGTGGAAGCTGTCCATGTCTATGGCAGGGGGATGGACAAGGTGATGTTTAAAAGTCCCTTCCAACCCAAAGCATCCAGTGATTCCTCAAACATTGGTCTGATCCTGCATGCACAGAGCAAGCACAGACAGCCCTGGGGAAGAAAACCACCACAGGAACCCCAGACCTGCAGGAACAGCACTCTCAGCTACTCCAGCATCTCCTCCCAGCAGGACTGTGAACATGCTGGAGAAGCAGGAAGGGATGGGGTGGAAGAGCCAGAGGGAAGCAGCCCCTGAGGGAGTCACAGGTGTCTGTGCCACGGCTCAGAAGAGCTGAGCCTCCAGCCTGGGTTGCAGATCCTTATATCACTCACGGTGATGTTCAACATTTGTTCGTTCCGGCTGTAAAACCTCTCCTGGCTCTGCACCAGGTGTTTCCTCCCTCGGTGCCTCAGCCAGGGCTGAGCTGTTGGAGCGTGAGCAGCTCACACACCGTGGCCTTTGTGACTAAAGGCACCAGCTGAGGTGACAGCTTCTCCATGAGAGCCCCTTTCCCATGGCTTCCTCACAGGTTAAGATGATAACCAGGAGAAGGAAAAATCCTCCACGTCTTTCCCTGTGCCTGCAGAATCCCACTCTCCTGAGGGAGTTTGGGTAACCAGCGCCAGCACCTCTTGGCCTCCAAGGAACTGGTTCATTTTGGGACAGAGCTTGAGGAAAACCCCAGGAATAGGAACACCTGAACCAATTCCTACAGCCCGGGTAGTGCCCAAGGCTGAGGATGGCTTTGTGGATGGAGAAGGAGCCTCCAAGCAGGTTCTGCCCTCTGTTCTGTGTACACTGGGGTTTCACATCCATAAAATTACGAAGTCATTTGAGTTCGAGTGACTCTCAGAGGCAGTTGAGTCCAACCATCACCCCCAGCATCACCAAGGCCACCATTAATCTGTATTCCCAATTGTCACATCCACATGATTTTGACCACTTCCAGGGACAGTGACTTCACTGCTTCCCTTGGGTTCTGTTTCAATGCCTGACCACCTTTTCAGTGAAGAAAATTTCCCTAATATCCCACCTAAACCTCCACTGGTGCAACTAATGGACGTTTCCTCTCGTCCTGTTCCTGTTCCCTGGCAGCAGAGCCCAACTCTCCCCGCTGCCCCCTCTTGTGAGTGAGTTATGCAGAGCCAGAAGCTCCCCCTGAGCATCCTTTTCTCCAGGCTGAGCCTCTTTCCCAACTCCCTCAGCTGCTCTTTATTTTCCATTCCCAGGGAGCTGATGGTCCCTCAGGATTTGGCCATGCCAAGGACCCTTAAACAGGGATTTAGCGACATGAATAAGGGATGTCCCTGGAAGCTGCTTTTGCTGTTTGGTGATATCCCTCTCCCAATCCCCCAGAAAAGGAATCACTGGGGGCTCTTTGTGGGGCTGAGGGTGTGTGGGCAGTGAGGGGACACCCTCTCAGAGAACAGCACCGTGTGGGTGGCTGCTGCTGGAGCCCCCATGGCCCCTCTCCACCGGGACCTGTTGACACCGGGGATGGGGACGGGACCATGAGGGTGAGGATGGAGGTGAGGATGAGGGGTCAAGTGAGGGTGAGGATGAGTGTGAAGATGACGGCAAAGGTAAGGATGAGGGTGAGGGTGAGGATGACAGTGGGGGTGAAGTGGCGGCGAGGATGGGGAAGGGATGCGGCTGAGGGTGAAGCTGAGGGTGCAGGTGACAGTCAGGGTGAGGATGAAGCTGAGCGCGGAGCTGCCGCCGGGGCAGCGGCAGTGTGCGGGGCGGGGTGTCCCGGCCCGGCTCGGCTCGGCTCGGCCCGGCTCAGCCCGGCCCGGCGGAGCGGAGCGGATCGGAGCTGTCCTTCAGCACCTCGGCAGCGCCGGCCGGGCCGGGCCGCGGCCGTGCCGGTGCCGGCGGAGCGGAGGCAGCGCGCAGGCGCAGCGCTCGCGGCTCCTCAAGGTGTTGGCGGCGCGGCCGAAGATGGCGACAGACTGAGGGCGATGGGGCCGGGCGGCGGCGGCGGCGGGCGCGGCGCGGCCCCGGCACCGCGCCGGGGCAAGCGGAAAGCCGAGTGAGGGCGGCCGGGGCATGCCCGAGGCCGGGACCGGGACCGGGGCGGGCGGCGGCGGCGGGGCGCGGCGGGGGCGGCGCGGGCATGGCGGCGGCGGCGCGGGGCAGGTGACAGCGGCGGCAGCGCGGCGCTGCCCGCCCGCCGCCCGCGCGCCCCCGGCATGATCCGCGGCGCCTGGATGTCCCCCCGCGGGGGCGCCGCCGGCGGGGCCGTGTGCTGCGCGCCGCGCCGCAGCGACAAGCCGGTGGCCGACCCCGAGCGGGCGCAGAAATGGCGCCTGTCGCTCGCCTCGCTCCTCTTCTTCACCGTGCTCCTCTCCGACCATCTGTGGCTCTGCGCCGGGGCCAAGCTGCGGGCGCGGGAGCGGCCGCGGGGCCGCGGGCCGCGGGCGCTGCTGGCGGCCGAGCCGGCGGGCGGTGGCGGCGGCGGCGGCGGCAGCTGCGAGGCCCTGCTGGGCAACCTGAGCCGCGGCCCCGGCGGGCCCTGCCCCGCCGCCCGCGGGGACCTGGACTCGGCGTGCGCCCGGCTGCTCGCCCCGCAGCGCCCGCGGGCCCCCGGAGCGCCCCTGCGCTCGCCCCCCGCCGCCGCCGCCGCCGCCGCCGCCGCCGCCGCCGCCACCGCGCCCTTCTTCGCCTCGCCCTCCTCCAAAAGGACCTTCCTGCAGGCTTACTTCAGGAACTTCAACCTCTCCTTTTGTGATACTTACACGATCTGGGACCTGCTGCGGGAGATGGCCGGCCCCGACGGCCTGGACTGCAGCCTGGACAACCTGATGGTGGACCTGGTGGTGGCGGCGGCCGGGGCGCTGGGAGGGGAGGCCTGTAGCAGCTGCGTCCAGGCGTACCAGCGGCTGGACCAACACGCTCAGGAAAAATACGAGGAGTTCGACCTCTTGCTGGAGAAGTACTTGCAATCGGAAGAGTACTCGGTCAGATCCTGCCTGACGGACTGCAAGGTACGAGGGGGCGTCCCGGGTGAGCTGGGCCACGGAGGGCTTGGTGGTGTGGGGGTACCGTGGTCCCCCTGCTCTCACACCTACCTGCAGGCTGCGTCTCCCTCTGTTCCTCAGACCTCTCCTGGCAGTGGTGGTGAAACAGGTCTGGAGCCCTTGGGAAGGTTGGGACAGGGTGGTGGGACAGAGAAGGCAAAGCAGGATTTGGCCTGAATGAGCACTTGCACATCCCTTCACACTTTGCACACACAGGCAGCTCCTGACACCCCAATTCTGACATCCCACCCTCAGTACCCCTCTCCTGACATCCCAATCCTGACATGCTACCTCAATCCACTCCTGACACCCCAATCCCTACCAACCTCACCCACACCTGTTCCCATGTGCACCCCTGTGCACACAGGGGCTGAGCTGGGGCAAGTGTGGGGCCCCTCACCTTTGCCTCAGACCTGCAACTGCTCCTGGGACAACCCAGAGTTCTGCCTGGCTGTCATTAGACCAGTGGTGACCTGAGATGAACCATGGTGCCAGGGCCCCTTCCCTGTACACAGCAGCTGTTTTCCAGCTCTCACACCTTTGCTGCCCAGGGAGCTGGCCCAGGGGTGCTGGGATGTGCCTCTCACCTTGGTGTTCCCCCCAGTGTCACTGACTGTCCCCAGCCCTGGGGCACAGTCCCTGTTCTGAAAGCTGATGGGTTGGTTGTGTCTCCCAGCATCAATGGGATCGAGGCTCTGGATGGAGCCAACTCCTCTTCTAGATGAGAGTTGTGTTCAGATCTCCACTGGACCCCAGTGTGGTTTTGCTGGATGCTCCATTACAAGCCTATGGTGCTTCCAGCTTCCACCTGCTCCAGGCTGCCTGGCTCACCTGTGCACGCTCCCTCTAGACATCACCTCTGGGAAGTGCAATGGTCTCCAGAATTAAACCTGCTTCCTTTGCTCAGAGCTGTGTCTTGGGGTGTGTGACAGCATTGTCCCCACAGGGATGGTGGCAGAGCTTCCTCCCTGGGTTGGCTGCTTCTCTTGTGGGACAGGAGTTTTGAGGGACACTTGGAGTTGCAGGGCAGCTCTTGAAGTGATGTTCATGCCCTGAGCAAGTGCAGGAGCAGCATCAAGAGCAGCACTGGGACACTGAGGTGGTGTCTTGCACCAGGGGCACATTGGTGAGGTCCTGGTCACTACTCCAAGGGTCGCTTTTGTGAGGAGCTGGGTTTGAGCAGGAGCTTCTGGGCCTGGGCCAAGGCAGGTAATTACAGTCTGCTTCCCAAATTCCCCGTGTGATTTCCAAGGGACGTAGTATTCAGCCTGCTCTGAGTAGTTTGGTGCTGTCCATTGTGCTGCTCCTGCTTCCAGGGGCCCAGCAGGATCAGGATCTCCCTGTGCCGTGTCTGGTGGAGCATAAACATTCCAACTTCAGGCTGAGCTTCCTTCTCTGCTGGGAGACCCAGAGAGAGAAGCAAGAGGTGAGAAAATAATCATTATGTTGAGATTCCAAAGTATATAGAAATAGAGCCATGCTTTTATGAGTCTCCATTAAGTGTCCCTGGGTTTAACATCCTTGATGGGAGAGCAGGAAATGTGCTGGGGAGATGCAGAGCTGGAGGTAATGGCAGGACTTGTCTCTCTGAGCTAGTTCTGTGTTGTGTCAGTGCATCCTTAGAGCATCTGTGAGCTCCAGCCTTACATTCCACAGGCAGCACTTGGGAAGCAACAGGAGGCAGGAGCAGCAGGGACAACCTGTGCACACTCCCCTGGGCCACTCACTGGGAAATTCCCATGGGAGTGCCCGAGTCTGCAGGCTCCCACCAGAGCCCTCACAGCTCCCATCCTTTTGGTTGCTCCTGAAAAACAGGCTGCTTTGTTTAAGGCCATTCACTCCATATTTATGTGTCTTATTCCAGCCTTTCTCATCCATGAGACTCAGCTTTTCCCTCTCAGTGGCTGTTCCCCATCTGTGAATTGAGGCTAATGCCAGACCCCTCCAGCATTGTGGTGACGAGTGAGTTTTGGCCCGATTTCGAGTCCTCTGGACTTGAGCAGGGACTGCAGTTACTCATTGCCTTGGAAAAATGTGGCTGGCGGGATTTCTGAAGCAGTTTGAATTTGTAATTCCCGTCCAGATGCTGGATAATACCTGTTTGTGAGGGATGGCAGAGCTATTGCTTGATGGTGATAACGTCTGAGAGCAAATAACAGGAAAACAGGAGAAGAGCAGAGGAAAACAGAGTGGAATGTGCAGCTCGGCCAGTGTGAGAGCTCCTGCAGAGCCCTCACAGCAGGATTCTGGCTGCAGGAGCCGTGGAGCTGGAGAAACAGGATTTAAATGATATTTCTGGGACACAGGACCGTGGGAGCAGGGCTGTGCATGAAGCATTAGTGCTGCTTCCCATTCACATCCCTGCCCTGCTATAACAGCAGCTGGAAAACTGAGGATGAGGAAGCACAGCAGCTCCAGCTCACCTGCACACAACCTCCCTCTGCAGAGCCACGGATCCCTCTGGAATCTGGTGCCAAAGAAGTGTGGCTCAGTAGACAGCTCACAGCGAGCTCTGTGGCAGCCAAACCACTCCAGTGATTTTGGCTCTTTATTCCACCTGATTTCAAACAACGGCAACACCAAATCCCAACTGGAGCTGACAGTTCCTTCCTGTGGCAGCAGATTTCACCCCAAGCTAAAAATTTGGAAGCGTGTGAATGTTGTGCATTGGTTTAGAAGGACACATAAGTCCCAGTTAATAAATAATCTTGAGAGCTGCCCTCAGGTTTGGGGAGAAAAGGCAGGTGTTGCCAGGAGGGGAAACAGCAACCTAGACATCCCAACCCCAGATCTGTCTGTGCCTGGAGATTGGGGAAGACTGGACCAAAGTCTCCCTAGGAGATAGGAATCCCATTAAATGGTGGGGTCTGTGTGTAATTCAGCTGCTGAGATTACTCGGTGCTGCAATACTCTCCCTTTTTGTTTTCTGCTTGGGGATCATTCCTGGGCAGATCCCACTTCCTATGTGTTCTTATTCCCATCCAGTCAACTTCCAAATCACTCCCTGGAAATGTTTTATTTGTTACTCTTAATACTAACCCCAGAAATCCCTGTGGCTGAGAGACAGTAAACCATGAGAATGCACTTGTGGGGTTTATTGTTTGCATTTCCCATTTGGTGGGATTTTGGGGGTCTGGCTCCCACAGGAACACTCATGCATGGGGCACTGGCATCCAGCAAACAGGAGGAAGTGAGGAAAGTGGATCCACAAGGTCCATCCATCTTCTCAAATACATTTCACCTCATGCTGCAGGGATCTGCCTGCCAGCTGCTGGGTGATGCTGCTAGGTAGAGATGATGTGGATAAAAGGTGGAAAACACCAGGTTTTTTTGTGAACATAAGAGAGAAAAGTCATTAACTGAGTCAGGAGCAGCTGCTGGCCGCCTCCATCTCGCCTGTTGCTGTGACTTGTACCCTTTGTCACTGCAAGACACAACGAACTTGGTGCACCGAGCAGTTGTGGGGATACTTTGGAGCATCCTGGGGATGTGGATATTGGAGTCAAATATCCATCAGGGAATGTGGGGCAGCAGCAGCAGTCAAACTGTCAGCCCAGGCTTCGTGCAGGAGGAAATCGCTGTCCCTCCAAAGCAGTGCCCTGAGGGATGCTTAGGGCTCGTTTGTGCCTTTTTCCTATCTTTCCAGACAGGAAAAGAGCAGTGTTGCTCCAGCTCAGACACCAGATGAGAGCTTTGCTAGTGCCAAGGCTAAGCTCTGCGTGCTGGCTCCCTCCCCAACAGCTCCCAAAAGTGCCCTCTCCCACCAGTCCTGGGGCAAATCAAGATCTATGGGACAAAGCCTGCGGAATTAAGGAGTCATTAGGCTGCAAGAAACAAAGCTGTGGAGAGAGAAGGGCTGACAGGCAGGAGGGGGCTGTCAGCAGAGCTGGGCAGGCTGGGCTGGACAGGACCTGTAGCATCTCAGATGTAATTAGATTATCAGGATTCTCTGCGTGGCTGTGGGATCTGGTTCTGCACCTCTGGTTTCCCTGGCACCCCTGGCAGGGCAGGATTTCTCTACCGAGGTTTTGATGATGTTTCTGTGCGGCAGTGATGTGAGAAATGGAGGCTGTTCCTGCTCTGGCATCACCCCAGGCACAGCAAGGAGCAAATCCCCAGTGCCCAGGTTCAGCACCCTCTGGGATCCTGTTTTCTGGCTCTTGTTTAACCAGAAATAGCAGCAGCAATCAGCATCCCTACGGAGCATCCCTCCCTGTGGAACATGCTCTGGAAACCCAAACCCACTGGCACCAGGAGCTTTGGGAACACCGTCTTGGGGTAACCCCAGTGCCAGGGACACCTCTTGGGGGAACCAAAGCAGTGTTTTACCTTCACGAAAGTAGTTAAGGTTGAGGGGTTTTGGGCTGGGCTTATCCTGTAGTTCTGTCTTACAACAGAAAAATGAGTATATTTAAATTGGCAAATCAAAACAAAGCCTGGTGCACTCCTGCTCCAAGCCTGGATGCCTCCTTGCACGGAGGGAAGGCCACTTGGGAACCACAGCAAAAGTGGTGTCACCAAAACTTTGTGCTTTTTTAAGGGAGTTACTTTAGCAGTGAGGCTTCCAGAGGATCTGTGCATGAGTGACTGCAAAGTTGCACCCTGGACCTGTTCCCCTGTGGAGCATTTGGTGCACCAGGAGCAGCAGCACTTGGGAGGGGCTGTGTGAACTCCAGAGCTTCTCCAGAACCAGCCTGGCCAGCATTTCATGAGGTGAAAAAAGGTTCCAGAATGAATTCAAAAGAAATTCCAGCAGATCAGTGCAGTCATTTGGCAGCTTGCATGGGCACAAACTTAGCCAAGTGTTTCACTCCATGTTCCCCACCCATTCCATGGGAGCAAAGGGAATTTTTTGCAGCCCCACAAAATTGTGATTCAGTTGTATAAAGAATTTGGGCCAAAGGACCATGGTGGGTTTGGTCTGCAGGTGCTGTGGCTGCAGCCTCTGGCACAGCCTAATTCTACTG